TCTTTGAGACTAGCAGAATGTGAACATGATATTATTTATCCTGCTCATTTTAGAGATTTAAATAGAAATATTAATTCCCTTCTACCGTTTTTGGCATTAATTTTTCGTCATTCTATAAGTATTTTTTAATTTAAATTTTTGTTTTAATTTAATTAAGTCCCAACTGAACAAGCACAATTAACAAGAAATGAGTGTGATATAATTATAAAAAAATGCTGTAAGCCTTTTTTTGATAGTTCTTTTCTCTTCCTTTATTTTCATGGGTATCTTGCAATGTTTTTTAATGATTAAAAGAGAACATTTAAGTTTATTCCCGCTGTCAATTATTTTCTCCATCACTTAAAAAGTATATTTGGCAAGGATTTGGAAAAACTAAAAACAATCTCGATTGAAACTAAAAATTACCAATTTTTAATTATAAATAGAGACCGGGCTTGGAGGATATCGAGAAATATCAATCTTGTCAAACAAGATTTTGTTCGAAATATCGTCTCAGACCGATCTTTAATAGTTATAAAAATTTTAGAAAGAAAATACAGTCACCGATATTACGAAATCCCTCTTGACCGAATTAAGTTGACATGAAAAAAAGGGTAATATTGAACGTGACAGACCCCCCTTTTTTCCTGTCTAATTTTCACCCTATATTTTTTAAAAATGGTCAGACTTTTTCCTTTCTTCCATCCAATTTGCTTTCTAATTTTTGCCTGCAATCAAACAAAAAAGGATTATAAAAAGGAGAAAAAAAGGCAAATTGGATGGAAGAAAGGAAAAAGTCTGACCATTTTTAAAAAATATAGGGTGAAAATTGGGGAGGAAAAAGGGGGTCTGTCACGTTCAATATTACCAAAAAAAGTTTTGATCGAGTAGTAGAGTTGAGCGGGAATGATCTCAGTCCGACTGCGGGATCGGATTAGTCAAAATCGGGATTCGGAATAAGGATCCCGATCCCGCTCAACCCTATCAAGTAGTTGTAATAGAGAGTTTTATGTTTTAATATTAAAAAAAGGAGGAGAACATAATATTTTTTTAAAATATATGTAAGTATATCCAAAATTTTAATTAATTGAAGGTGATTCTGATACTGCTGAGATTAATACACCATTTTATGTTTTTTATTATAATGTTAGTTTTCTTATTCAAAAAAAACTTGAACAACAAATTATTAATCCTTTTTTGATTCAACAAATTAGAGATGAAAATGACGGAAAAATAGAAAGAGAATACGATACTGATACTGAATTTGCAGAAACTGATAAAGTTAAAGAAATTCCACCACAATTACGTGTAGGAGTTATGACAGAAGTAAATTAATTTTTTAAAGAATAATAATAATAATTAAATTTAACAAAATATACATGCAAAATTGAAAAATTAAAATTAGAAATGCTCCCTTTAAAATATTCATTTTAAATTAACTTTTTCCAAAAAAATTTTAAATGAAATCAAAAAAGTAGTACTAAATTGGATTTTGTTGTGGACTCGGGCCGACCTACTACCGCCTTCCCTTAGTTACCTACGCCGCCTTCCCTTAGTTATTTGTGTTTTTCCACATTCGATATTCTATTTGGTTCTATTCTTATGTTATTCTGCTAGTCACTAAGGTAGGTTATGAGCACCGGGATACATTTTAATCAGTTCATAATTATAAAAAAAATTCGGAAATATTTGATGATTATTCATCAAGTTAGATGAGAAAAATGGGGTAAACCTTGTATTTATAAAAAATTATTATTTAAAGATTCTGCAACAGTGTCTTGTGATGAAGATTCAATATCCAGGAAGTGGAAGCAGAAGAGGAGGAAGAGATTGAGCACACGATTTTCAAGGGCTGGTTGGATCGGGGGTTTTTTCCTTTGGGTCGGGTTTCGGGTAAAAAAAAGTCCGGGTTTCATTGGGTTAAGTCAGTTTAACGGAAATTTTCCAATTTCCATTACCAATACGGAGAACCAGTTTTCAATAGAAATTGGCGGTTTTAGTTTTGGAAAATTTCTTGGTTCGGTTTTCGGGTTGAAAAAAGTCCAGGTTTTGGGTAATTCGGGTCCCTGCTTGCTATTTATCTAATTATTTTTTTATTTGAGTTGAGAAACATAATTTCACATTTTTAGACTAAATTTTTTGGATTTTTTAATTTTTAAAAAATATTTGGCTGTAGTGTAGTGTACCGGTGACAACTTTTACCACCTGTACACTGTTTTTGTCACTCTCGAACTCAGCTCGGTGAGAGGAATCCATTGGAATATATTTAGAATCTGGGTCTCGTGTCAGACAAAATCAGCCAATTATTACCTTTACTTTTATTTTTTATTGGATTAAAGCATATTTTTTAACGATTAAAAGGACATTTTTTCTTTCTTATAGTATATATTATATGAGAAATTAGACAAATTTATGTTAAATCTTTTTTTGATAATTTATTTTGTTTTTGACAAACACTTCTTGAAATGTTTATTTGTTGAGACATTCGAGCAGAGGCTAAAAAAATCCTGGTACAGCATGTCATCATTTGGAGAGTTATTTTGCCGAGTTTATGTGGAGAAAAATGATTGGGGAAAGAGCATCATGATTGCTTGGGGAAAATATTGGTCATGGAATAATTTTTGTTTTATATATTTTCTTTTTCACATAAAGACATTCTTTTTAAAATAAATGTACACATCAAATTTAATCCTTAGCGAGGGAGAGAATTGACCATTACATACAATTATGTCCGCAAAAATAGTCCGTAAAATTTTGTAGGGATAACCCAAAAGTACCAAAATTAATGAATTTTATTTGTTCAAAATTAAACAAATCGATGAACCTCAATTTAGATGGCGTTAACATTAAATCATGGATGCTTGCGGAAAATATTGCTGCATTCGCTTAATTAAATAAACAATTTGCATTTTCGCATGCAAATATAAAGTTAACCTTTTTCTAATTATAAAGGTCTCCCGACATTCTCATTCAATTCTCGACTCTTATCTTATCTTTGTTGTCCACTTTTTATTTATATCTTGAACCTTAAATTGTCTTTATAAATACCCCGACCTTTTCCTCATTATCAGATTTGGCCTAGCCATTTCTCTCCCTTTAGATTTCTTTTGGTTAATGACAATCTTGGGAATCAAACTTCAAAATTATCATATTTTTTAAAAAATTTTTAAACTTTATTTCTAGTCTCCCGACATTCTCATTCAATTCTCGACTCTTATCTTATCTTTGTTGAGATAAGATCTAGTGCATTAATAAATTTCTTCAAAAATGTTATATTCTTTACCAATTGAAACGAAGCTTGATATTTTTAAATTCCTCAATTATGAAGAATTATGTTTAGTTAAACAAACAAATTTTTATTTTTGTAATTTTATTAATAATTTTGAAGGAGGACTTGCTCGGGAGGAATTATTTGAAATCAACACTGTAACATTTTGTAAATTTTAAATATTTTTAAATATTTTAAGCAATGTTTTAAAAAATATTTCGATCAATATAAAGAAAGCAAACATAAATTAATTAAACCCAAAGCCGAAAATTTGGACTTTCCATTGAATAAACAATTTGAAGACAAAGTAAGTGAACTATTTGTAAGTTCACTCTAAATACCCTCGGTTCTAAGCCTTGGTCAAATGAAGATTAAAATATAGATTTATTCAAAGGGGTTAAAATATAATAAATTAAAAGTTCAATACAAGTTGAAAAATGAGAAATTGAGGGGGAGTATATATAGTGATCCTAAAGTAAACAGAGATTGGACAGGTGAATGGACAGGTCAGAATTAATTAAATAAAATGGAAAACAAAATATAAGATAAGGATTTTTGGGTAAACATTAAGTCGGGAAAACTCAGTAAACCTTTTGTAAAATTGGAAGGTCAAGAGTTTATCATTTATTTATTTTTATATTTTGGGAAAAAGATAATTTTTAATTTGTTTATTTGCTGATGCGAATGCAGCATCCCTTCCTCCTTAATTAAGATGACGTCCGCGTCATGCTTATTAAAATAAACGTTAAAATAAACGGAGGAGATCTAAAAATTTATTTTTTAATTTGTTTATTTGCTACAAATCGCTTTATGCAAAAAAATTTTTATTTTTAGTAACCATTTTTTTTATTTTAACTCTTTTTTTTTTAAATCGAGGGATTTTTTTTGTAACTTTAAATTCTCCTCTTGTTTTAAGTATTTTTTGTCTTTTTTTTAATTGTATATTTCTCCATTTATGGGATTTTTTGACTTCTTTTCTCCGACATTAGTTTAAAGGGGTGGTAAAAAATTAGATTACAACTTAAAAATTAAACTATTAAAGGTAAAAAAGTTTTAGGGAATTTGATTAATTATTTAAGAGGGAATTGGGGTAAGGAAATTTTAGGTTTTTTTAATGTCCATTTTTAAATTACAGATGAGCAATATTTCTTATCTTCTTTTTACCCTGCGGCATTTGTTCATTTAGTTTCTGATCATATTCTTTGTTTGTTTTTGTGCGTTCTGTCTGTTGTTTTGACGTTGGCAGTCTTATCTTTTGATGATGGATGTAGTCTTTCTCCAATGGTCCTGCTGTCTTTGCCGATTCTCCCATTTTAAAATTAGGGGGTCTTATCACAAGTTTGTCCTCAACCCACTTTTTTCTTACTTTTTTATTTGTGGGACTGTTTTTCTGATAAGTATGTTTTGAGCTTGGGTTTGTTAAGTTTGTGTCTATTCTCAAGCCACAATTCTTTAGTAAATTATTATTTTTATCTATTTCGTGATTGCTTTTAAATTCAAAATTTTCTACTAATTTTAATTTTATTTTCTCTGCTTCATTTGTACGACAATTTTTAATTAGTGATTTTGCGATTAATTTACCCGTTTTCAAATCTAGGAATAATGGAAGGTTTTTTAGTGTTTCTCTTCCAATAATTACATCATATTTTCCTGTTTTACTAATTTCAGTTTCTAATATTACAAGCTTTGTTAAAATTTCACAACCGGCTATTTGAAAAATTATTTCTCCTTGGCCAAGCGTGGGTACTATTTTATTTCCAATACCAACTATGGCGCCTAATTCAGCGGGGAATATCTCGTTTATTTCTACTTTATCTGCGGTTTCTTTACCAGTTAGGGATATATGTGCTCCCGTGTCCAATAGGCAGAATATTTCTTTTCCATTTATTTTAGCTTTTATTCTAAACCATTCATCGCATATATTATCATATCCGGCTGCGATTTCTGCAACATTAATTTCTTTCTCTGGCTCAGGCTTTTTAATTTTTCGCAGGTTTCTAATTATTGTAAATAGAATTAGCTTTATGAAAAACAGTAGTAGAAATAGTATAGTACTGGTACATAGTAGATAAGTAAATACCTGAATTTGATTTAATATGAGCAAGCTCGCGAAATTTGCGGAAAATATGCTCTCTTTGGGCAATTCGGTCATTTTCCAATTGTCGCTTGTTTTCTCTTTAAAGATAAAGGGTGAGTATACGCGACAATTCATTTCAAATTGTGGTCTATGGCTAGCCAAAGTGGGACTTATAATAGCAATTAGTGCAAAAATAGTTAACAAATAAGGGCTAGATATTCTTATTGGACTTGCAACTTGGCTTTCGCTGAATCTCACTTTTCTAGTGGGTGACGGGCTATAGCTATTTGGCGAATTTTCTCTATAATTTCCGCGAATATTATCATTATATCTGCGCCTATCCCTATTATATTCATTTCTATAATTATTTCTGTTTTCCCAGTAATTATTTTGAAAATTTCTTCGCTCATAATTATTATATTGGCGAGATTTATAATTATTTCTTGCTCTGTTTCGGCAATCTGCTATAACGTGTCCAGGTTTATGGCAGTAATAGCATAGGCGTCTGGTTTCTCTAGACCGATTAATTGCTAGGGCTTCCACTTTTTCTGCTAAATCTACATATTGATGTTTTTGGCGTTTTTCATTCAATAATAATTCAAAATGTTCGGCAACTTCAAATGCCTTGGAATAGTCATCAGGTCTAGCAGCTTTAACCTCGAATTGAAGATCTGGCAAAAGCCTATCCAGAAATTCATCTAGCAATCGCTGCTGTATCGTATTTTCTTCATATCCAATCATAACAGCACGCACTGCGTCGTTTAAGCGCTGTGCGAATTCAAAAACTCGTTCTCCAGGCGCTTGTTTTATTATAGATAGGGCTTGCCTAGCTACAGTACGAGAATGACCATTTACAAATTTTTCTTGCAAGAAATCTATTGCTTCTTGCAGAGTAGCTGGTTGCGGGACTTTAGCGTCAAGTTCAGCACGAGCGCGACCTCCCAGGCATACTTTGAGACGACTTAGCTTTTGTGCTTCGTTAAGTGGCGTAATTATTAAGTTTAGTGCATCCATAAATCGCTGGAAAAATTTTGAGAATGAACTAGTCGGGTTACCATCATAGACTCCGACTGGGGTCATTAGACCGTTTAAGAATGGGTCTCCGATCATAATCTCAACATTTTCTCCAGTAATGGGTTTCTCAGCAGCTTCCAACGCTTTTTCAGGAGGTTTAGTCTTGCGATTTAGGTCAAACGATTCATTACTTCCGTGACCGTTCCATGAAAATCCGGATCCTCGCGATTCATTTTCTAAAACCTCTACTTTTGCTTCAAGACTTTCAATTTTATCAATTAATTTACGCGCATTTTTAGTAATAATTTCTGCTATTTTCTGCTCACTTTTAGATAAATTATTCTCAACGTTTTCCATCCCTTCCTCTAGGATGTTTAGGCGTTGGATTTGTGAAATTTGTTCTTTTTCTATTTCCATATTTTTAGAGCGTAAAAAGACTAATTCATCTTTTAATTCTCTATCATCCATTTTATTTTCAATTTCCTTCATTTTTGTTTTGTTTAAATCATTATCAACTCCTAAATTAGATATTTCTTCTTTTACAATTTGTTTCAAATTTTTAAATTGATTTTCTAATTTTTCAAATTTTCCATCTATTAAAGCATTTATTTTATCAATTTCAGATGAGGACGAATTTGATGGCAAATTTTGTCCTTCAGAAATTTTCGACTCGATTTTACGGAAGTTTTTGCATACAGCCTCTTCAAAGCTGCGTAATCGAAATAATAAATTATTCCAATGACGACCTTCTTCAGGCGTAAAAAATTTATTCGCAAAATCTGATCCTGTTGTCTGTGTCTGATTTTTATCCATTTCCAAGATTCTCCAGAAAATGTTTTCAGGGGCAGGAAATCCTTTATAGAGCTTTTCCGAGAGCGGAAAATCCAGTTCTTCTCTTTCTTTTTTATTTTAAACTGAGGATTGCACCCAGCAATTTCCTCTACTTTAACCGTTGCACCAAGCAGGAGGATAGAGCACACAGCAGTCTACCTCGTTTTTTAATTAATTAATTACGTGGGGTATTTTCTTCCCACAATTTCTTTCACAACTCTCTAAAACTAGCTCTTTTCAGGATCAAAATATCCTTCAAACAAATTCTTTTTCTCTCAAGGCTTTTTACCCGGATTAAGTGGCACCAAATGAACTATTTGTAAGTTCACTCTAAATACCCTCGGTTCTAAGCCTTGGTCAAATGAAGATTAAAATATAGATTTATTCAAAGGGGTTAAAATATAATAAATTAAAAGTTCAATACAAGTTGAAAAATGAGAAATTGAGGGGGAGTATATATAGTGATCCTAAAGTAAACAGAGATTGGACAGGTGAATGGACAGGTCAGAATTAATTAAATAAAATGGAAAACAAAATATAAGATAAGGATTTTTGGGTAAACATTAAGTCGGGAAAACTCAGTAAACCTTTTGTAAAATTGGAAGGTCAAGAGTTTATCATTTATTTATTTTTATATTTTGGGAAAAAGATAATTTTTAATTTGTTTATTTGCTGATGCGAATGCAGCAGTAAGGGAATTAAAATATCTAAAAATCAAATAATATTTAGTGGAGAAATGGAATAGAAAAACCAATTCCTTTATATTTACCCTATAAGAATTTATACAACAACGTTAGTAGTTAACCACCCCTCCAAGTCGTCAGGGGCAGCGGGGTCCAACCATTTAGCCCCTCCCACATATTTAAACGGTATTTAGACACACCCAATCCGTCGTCAGAGTCCAAAGATTCAATGGACACCCAAAGGATCAAAGGGTTTAAGGGGTAATATGATCAAACCGGTTTAATGGCAAAAATTGAACTTTTTTAAAGAAAAACTATCATTCGCCCTATTCTTCACCAATTTTTTTTAAAATTTTCCTAAAGCTTCAAGGTTTAAGAAGTGGGTTTGAACTGATTTAAACGGTTCAAAGAAGAATTTCGCATATTTTTTAAAAGATTACATAACCTAAAATTTAAAATGGTTCCCAAAGGTTCAAGATGTTCAGAATTTCTTTTGAACCGGTTCAAGGATGTACTCTTAAAAATTCTTAGAGAAACATCTTTCCAACCCTCTTCTCTATTTTCTAAATATCTTCTTTTATTTTTACCCTTTATTTTGAAAAATATAAAAATTATTAAAAAAGTAGGCGGTGAAAAGTGAAAATATATAATAATTATAAAAATTCATTCATGCAATAATTGTTACAAAAATTATTGTTAAATAGGTCAAAAATCTGTCATGCAAAAATTACATTGCAAAATTATATTTAGAAAGGAAAAAATGCCAAATTTATAAAATTTTCAAAAAATAGTAGTTAAACCCTCCTCATATTGTAACAAGACTTAAGTCAAACAAAAGTTCACTTTAACCAAAAGGTTTAAACCAAACGGTTTAAGGGTACTTTGATCAAACCTGTTTAAGAATAAATTGAACTTTTTAAAGAAATCACCTTACTTTTCACAAGATTACATATACAAACGGCTTCCAAAGGTTTAAGGGTTCAACAAGTGGTTTTGAATCGATTTATCCGTTTAAAACACGATTTTCACAAGATTACATAACCATAAGTTTATAATGTTTCCCAAAAGTTCAAGAGTTTAAGAAGTAATTTTAAACCAGTTTAACCGGTTTTTCCTACATCAAAACCTCTCATATCAAACTTCACCTCTCATATCAAATCTCAAACATTAAACAGCTCTACATACTTTTTAAAATTTATATTACATTTAAATCCGTCTTATCTTGATCTAACCCTTTCTCTTTATTTTAATCCATTCTTGAAAAATACAATAATTATTATAAAAAGTGGAAATTTGTTAAAATCAGTCATGCGCAAGAAAAATGGTGAAATTTAGTAAATAGATATTGAAAAGTAAAAATTGGGTAAATTATTAAAAAAAGTAAGTAAAAATAAAAGTTAAAAAGTGAAAATATGTCACAAAATACGTCATGTGAAAATTGTTTCAAAAAAATGATTAAAAAGTAGGCGTGGAAAAGTGAAAATAGAAAAACTGTCAAATAAAAATGACATTTATAAATCCAAGTTTTTGAAAAATTTCCTCATTCTTTGAATAATTTAAAAATATTGATATTACTTTACTAACCTTAAATGTCTCCTCCACCTCTAAAGAGATCGAGGATGTTCCTCATTGACAACCTATTGCAAAAGGGTGGAGGTGATTATGTTAAACAACTCGGTGAGGAAACTAAACTCACTAAGAAATTCAACATGACCAAACTGACTACAAAATTTCTAATTAATAAACTACCTCCAAGCCCCGAAAGCCTACTCCAGGAAATATTCCAAACCTGTATCGACAAAACAATATCTACAAGCCGCGAACACCAACTTGAACCTGATCAACTAGGATGTATTGTCAGCAGTCAGCTGCTCGAAACTGACATTTGGATTCCCATTAGAGACATCACCAACAACACCATCGACGCCATACTTAATCAATTCTTGAAAGTCGCCCAATCCAAAAAGCAAGATAATGGTATGCTTTGGGGCGAACCATTTACAGTCTCCGTTACTACCATTGACAAGCAGAATATCCCTAGAATACGCGTCATCAGCGGAAGCGGTGGGAAATCTACTCGTAGGATAAATGATAAAAACCTCATCAAAATACGCAATACCGACAACCTATGTTTGTTTTATGCATTAATGGCTTCATACGTCTACTCAATATTTTCCTGGCCAAAATGGAAGTTCTATGATTATATGCATAGCAGAAGAGGTATGACTCATCAACTCGAACAAGATACCAAAAAACTATTGAGAGATGTTGGAGCTCCTCTTGATCAGCCAAGCTATGATGCGCAGAACTGGGTTCCCAAAGTGGTCAATTATTGGAATACATTGAACATAGGCCTGTTTAAAGTTTATATCTTTGGTGAATTTGCCGAAGAACCTATCTTCAAATATGGACAGGAAAAGTTTGATACCCCAATTATTCTTTATCACCACAATCAACATTTCGACGG